AAGCGAGTCTCTGTCTCGGCAATTAATGCGGCGTCGTCTGTATAACATAATATTTGAATTTCTTTGATCCCCCCCCTCTGTAACCATGATTACCTTTACGAGCGAATAAAACGTATTAATATCTGAATAACGCGTATTACTTAAATTTTTTTATTTATTTTTTCGATATTATGTTTCTGATATTTTCTCCCTCTTGGAATGTATTTCGATCTTGATCTCGTTTTGAAAAAATGGCCAGTATACCAGTAGAAATAAAAATAATATATTTAACATACATTAACAACAATATGTTTAACAGTCTTTAGCAGTTCTCTGTCTTTGTTGACGCTCCTTAGTAATTCTTCATTAGTTTTTCTTGCTGTCCAAGGTATCTTCAGCATTAGTCTATGAACCCACATTTCCAATGCTTCAATTTTGTTCATGATCGATACTTTTAGCGTCCACACTTCTGAACTATACAAAACTACAGACCAAACATAACACTTAACCTGTCTTTGCCTTAGTTCTAAACTGAGATGGTTATTGCAAAGAAATGACTTCATTTTCATAAAAGTAGTTTTAGTCATTGCTATTCTACGTTTTATTTCTATGTTTGGATTCTAGTTGGTTCGTTATCACAGTTCCCAAATATGTCATTTTGTGAACTTTCTCAACTTGGACTCCGTTCAATTGAAGCTTTGCATCGGGATGTGGGTCACGACTAAACACTAAAAATTTGGTTTTGTTTGAGTGTATTTTAATGCCCATTTCCTCTCCTACCTCGTGAATACGATCAAGCAGAATTTGAAGACCTTCAATATTATCTGATAGAATTACTGTATCATCTGCATATCTAATCACATTAAGTAGTTCTTCGTTGATTTTTATTCCATATCGTTGTCTCTCAAGTGCCTTCTTTTTCAAGTAAATAGCTAGTCCAAGTAAACATTGAACAATGTTGGCGACAAAATGCGACCTTGTCTGACTCCTCGTTGTATGGGGATTACATCGGTGTAGTTATCTCCAATTTTTACGATAGCAGTTTGATTCCAGTACAAATTTTTAATGATACGAATATCCTTGTCATCTATTCCGATATTTTTCAGTATTTGCATTAATTTTACTTGCTGTACTTTACCGAATGCCTTTTAGAAGTCCACGAAACATGCAAATACATCTTTTCTTTGGTCGCGGCATTTTTGTAATAGGATGTTTAGCGCAAAAAGTGCCTCCCTGGTTCCCATAGCATTTCTAAAACCAAATTGGGTATCTTCAAGATCTTCTTCGCATTTGCGTCTAATTCTGTTGTGAAGTATTCTGAGGAAAATTTTAAGAGTGTGGCTCATTAGGCTAATTAATCGATATTCTGAGCATTTTCTCGCATTGTGTTTTTTAGGTATTGCGATAAAGATGGATTTGAGCCAATCTGCGGGAATCACTCCGGTGATATATATATTGAATTAAAAAGTCTTACTACTACTTTTATGTTATTATTCTCTATTAGTTTCAGCAACTTAGTTGGTGTATCATCTGTACCACAAGCTTTTCTAATTTTAGCATTATTTATAGCATGTTCTACTTCGCATTTTATAATTTCTGGGCCGTCAGTACAGTTTTGGTAGATCTATAATACCTTTTAATAATTACTCTTCTTACAAATTAGTAATAGGATCCTAATCTCTTTAATTCGATATAATCAACGGTGTCATATTTATGTTTTTTTTCTTTTGGTACACCATTTAAGCGTAGGTTGCTTCTTTTACATATAACTGTATTGTGTATTAATAAGTTTAAACATATACACGAATCCTACAGTACTGTCGATTTGGAATAAATAAGCTAGATACTGGATAAATAGTACCTGATAAATTACTATTCCATCGCATCGTTCGTTGGAGGGCTTTTGATGCCTCCTGGCAATATGACCTTGACAATATTTTTCTAACGTTTTATTACACATAATATTGTGATTATACTTAAGCCGTATAATTATAATGCAACCTAAACTGTATCGTTAAAAGGGTAAATTAAAAATTAAACCTAATCAAACAATATTGTACATAAAAAATGTAACGATTGTGTTTAATAAGCCCACAATATAAACATGTTTGAGATTAGTAGAGGAGTAGAAGAATAGGTGAAGTCACAAAGATAAAGATATCATTTTTTTAACAATAAATACGAGACTAAATAAAATAAAATAGGACGATTAGTAAATAGCAAACAAAAAGCATTACCGTGAGCCGGAATACGACAAAGTACGGATTTCGAATCAGATCAATATAAGCGATAAAAAAAGTATTGTAAAAAATTAAACATTAGAGTCTCTATGATCAGAATACAGGAATAACTGTAGTAAAAAAAGGTAATAAAAAATTTGACTAAACCCCCGTACCAACAGAAGAACTTAACACTTAAAAGTCAGTCAGTAAAATTAACTTGAGCGGCAACAAGAATTAAAAACAAATGTAAGCACTGAAAAAAATCCAACAATAAAAAATATGCAAAAAACTACATAATTTAAAACAAAAAGTTTAAAAACATAATTTTAGACACCAAGAGATTGAAACAGGATCTTTATGGAGTTAATGAAAAATTTATAAGCAATTCTAAATGGGAAAAAATCCGATTTATAAATTTAAAGATAACAAAATGAAAACATAGGAGATATTATAGCCCATTGAAACACAACTCTTTTTCTATAAATTACGTTCGTTTTAGATATTATTTGTTACTACGTTAGTACAACACAATTATAGATTTCAAATTACAAATAAATACAGAAAAGAAGTTTCGGTATGTAGTTAAAAATGTAGTAATTAATTTGTTAATGGTATAAGTTACAATTTAAGATTTAAAGATAAATTTATTGACGTTTCAATTACCACCCTTCGAAATAGGTCTACATACAATACAAATATTAATAAATTAATCAACTTTAGTTTTTAGTTTACTTGTAGTGTTAAAATTTTTTCTAATTAATTTAATTTTATTTGACTTTATTTTTATTGCCAATTTAGACATACATTTTTAAAGAATTGGTACATTATAAATTTTTAAAAGTGACGACTTTAGATATTGCCAATATTTTGAGTTGCGTTACTGGGATGGATTTTAGTGTAAATTTTCAACCTAAATACATGATTTCTTTAAACAAATATTTTGGTTAACAATGGGCTCTTAGTTTATCTCATTATTATACGACTTTAATATTTATGAAGATTATAAAATAATATTATTTCTAACAAATTTAAAACCAACAGTAAGGTAGAATTGTGTAGATGTTTTATTCTCAATATTAAAAATACAATCTCACTTGAGTTGTTGGATACATTCCTGAATGATATAAATGAAAAGAAGAGACAATAACATTTACCATGGAAAAGAAATATAACGCACTACCTTTTCTGGATGTTTTAATCTCTAAGAACGATACTGAATATATGAGATTCAGGTGTATAAAAAACTATCACACACCAACAGATATTTAAATTACAAATCACATCACAATATCAATATAAAAAATGGAATCATTAAATCCTTGTACGATAGAGCCAAAAAATCGACCAAATAGAACAGAACAACTTCTACGTAAGAACGACATCCTACAGCATACACAAGGAATATTAAGAGGAAAATAACACTACCATACAATAAAAAGGGATTATTAGAAATAAATTCAAAACAGCAAATACATTGGGATCTATTTTGTCTAAAACTAAACTTAAAAATGAACAAGAATGAAAAAAGAATTCTATTTACAAAATACCTTGTGAATGTGATCAGTTTTATTTAGATAAAACATCAAGGCCATTAAATGTTAGAATAAATGAACATTATTCTCATATTAAAAATAGAGAATTTTATATATCTCATATATGTAAACAGGCATGGGAAAATTAACATAGGGTTCATTGGAACGATTCAAGTATAGTCCTAAAAGAAACAGATGGTAAAAAGAGAAAAATCAAAGAAGGCTATAATTATGCTAAATGAGACCAATTGTGTCAAAAATTCCGTAGCAGAATGCAGTAGGAACTGGTTATCCATAATAAAAGAAGAAGTTAATAAAAGAAAAATACCACTATTAGTAAGTCAGAAACATATCAAGGATACATCATTTGTTTTTTAAATAACATTCATATAAAATCAGAATTTGGTAATAATTGAGAATAAACTAAATGTAAGACCAAATACTTTCCATATTGGGGTAGCATTATGAGCACTTTTTCCTTGTTTTTTTACTCATGATTTACTATGGAATCACTAAGAGGAGAATATTACCGTCATCATGGCATGTGGTTATCTGTTTAAACACAAATCACATGCTATGATTTTTTCTGACAGATATTCTCAAGTTAAAGTTGATTTCATGTGTTGGTATGAACTATCCTACAATAATACAGTCGTCCCAGGAACGCAACTCTGAGATATTGGCAATATCATTTTAAAGTCGTCAACGTTAAAATGTATTATATATGTTTGAATTGTCAATATACATGAGTCAGATAAAATTAAGTTATTAGAAGAATTTTTCACCAAGTTTTTGATTTATTATTGTTTATATTTTGAGAATGATTTCCGAAGTAGAAACTGAAACGTCAATAAACTTATTTTAAATTTCAATTGTGGCTTATTTCCATTAAAATAGTAATTACTTTAAGATGCCATAAAAAAATAGCATCAGAACAATATTAAATGTTAAAAAAGACATCGTAATTTTTGTATTTTAAAGCATAGCTACTACAAAAAGCGAAACAAAAACTATAACAGGATTGATTACAACCAATTACATTTATTTTCTGTCCACGCATCTACCGACTCGCGTCTTTTAGTTGCTGGACACCCTCGTCGAGGAGCCCGTCGGCATCCTAGCCTGCAGGACCACTAACCGCGTGCAGCGTCTCGATAAGGACCTTCGCGCATGCGGCATCTCGTCCACGAACACGCTGCACAACGTATATGTGTTTTTCTCAGGTAAGAGATCCCGGTGCCCGGTGTTGTAGTGGTTTCACGTCTCGAAAACTCTCTTGAGAGAGAGTATCCTCCGATTGTCGACCCACCACCTATTTTGCGCTAACGCCACGAGAATGACCGTGTTGGGGCTCACCTAAGTGTCCTAAGTGATTGTTTGCTGCATATCGCGGAAGATATGCACACTGTGTTCTGCGTGCCTGCCTCCATCTACCTTTTGCTCATTATCACCCCCTACACGACTTCCTGGTGGTAAGTACCTACATACTTTATAGAAAGTAAGTTTTAATCACAGTTTTCGTTTAATATCTACAACTTACTGTAGTACGTTATAATCTATGTTTACAGTAAAAAATATATATTTTTTTGTTAGTTGTTTTCTTTCTATATATATTGTAGACACATATTTTTAAGTCTAAGTTTATTTCATAAGTGTTGACAACTTTAAAAGTGTGAGTTAAATAATTCAATCACTTATAAATTTTATTACATATATATAATCATGTAAACTTTTCCAAATATTATAAATTAAAAACGTCATTAATAATTTTTTTCTAATGTAGCTGTCCACTTTCATTCTTTATTTAACTGCCATATCCACTATTTATAACTTTTAAGTTTACATGTTTTAAAAATACCCGTATTCTTTGATTGGCATTCGAGAGATTATTCTTTGATTGACATTCAGGAGATTTATTAAACATTTCTTCTCAATATGACTAACAAACGTCTCGTTTGTTATCTTGGCATATGAATGTTTTATTTTTTCCTAACTAAACAAATAATTATATTTGAAATGAAACATTAAATATTATTTCTACATAACTGAATATTATCGATTTTCAATGATGCTAAACTGTTTAGCTGAAAGTTTCAAATAGCAGAAAATTTTGTAGACTATTATTCATTTATATTCTACATGTCAATTGTCATTGTCTACTTTTAAATTTATATATCTTTGTGTTGGTAGATGCAATGTGTTAATTCATTAGTTCTAAAATGTTGTTTTAAGATTTCTTAAATACAACATGTACAACATACAAGATGTTTTTACACTGAAACCACATAGGACTTTGCCTCAACTGCGAAGGTTACTTTAAGTAGGATTTTGGGATTAAGTTGAGATATTACTGGTAAATGTGGCAATTTCAATTGCGCTTTATAATGTAAAAATCTCGATTTAGTCAGATAATTTAAATTGGAAGCATTTCATGACCGATGACGATATAAATCATAATAAAATTTACATAAACTAATATATTTTAATAACCGGATGTGTTATACGTAATGTGCAGAGATGGAAATATTGTTCTAATTTTAAATCAAAACCATAATTCATTCAACTGGTGATGTCTATCGGAGAGATCTTTTATATAAGTTTCAATATTTATAGAGTTTGTATCTTTCTTACCGCTCATAATACATGAGTTGTGGATATTGTTCTGTATATAATATAAAACAACTGATTGTATGTGTAGATGTGTGTCTATGTGTATATTTGCATCCATGTGTGCGGGAGTATTTGTGTGTATGAGTGTGTGGAAGTATTTGTACTTAATACATTATCTACAGATCATAGTCATGATAATCACATTGTAGTCTACTTATCTACACCAAGATGAAGAGAAAAAATGACCTAAAACTATATCTTTGAAACTCTTAAAGAAGTAAGTGCTTTGCTTCTTAAGATTGTAATGCCGAGAGGCTCAATTATATTATCAACAATTATATTTTAAAATTTTATTTTTTTTCTTCAAAATTCAATTAGAAGGACTTTGTCAAATAAAGCAACTAAAAGGTATATATCGCTACCTTGGAAGAACGCGTCATATTTTAAAAAAGTAAGAAATGGACTATGTTAGTGAACAGATTTCAAATATACTCGGTTCTCTATTCCCAGTCCGAACTGTCTAGTGAATTTAGTAATTATTTTTTTGCGAAGTTAGTTACTTTTTGACAGACCAAAAGTGGCTGGAAATTACTATACAACCAAGCACACGTACTCATAGCCAATATTAATAGTAAACAAACTAAATAGTAAATAAAATAGAACTTTGCGAATTACCGACAATTAATAGTTATTTATCAGCACCATATAATAAATAGTCATGTTAAATTATAACAAATAAAATATATTTTTTAAATATATACTAACCCAAAATTTGATGGGTTTAGTATACATTTCCACTATTTAGAATAATTCTTCTTTTTTTTAAAGAAAGAAGTCTGCAATAGTAGTATACTTAAGCTATTAATACTGAGAAATAGGAATTGTTATGTTGTAGGTTTCCGACAATGAATCTGTCAAAATAAGCCCGAGCTAAGCGAATGGAGTATATTATATATTTTTTGTGAGATAACTTCATAATGTTAGGTTATGTCTATGGCCGTCAGATGGTAGAAGTGGCGTTATTGTTAATCGAAAAGTTAGTTCGATATTATGCACAATATTGTTATATTTCGAGATTTCCTTTTTTTATTTTAGATTGTGTCAGTCTTGTAAAGAAGTAAAGGTTATGTTTAAAATGAGTTGTACTATTTTTTAAGTTATGCCAGCATTTTAGAAAACCATTAGAACTCTTTGAATTTTGGAACTCAGTTATCTACAGATTTCTTGAATACAACATATAATTATTGATAAATGTTTCGGCATTTTGCCGTCTTCTTACGGTGCCTTATCCTTAAGGACGTTGTCCATTACATTTGCTCATTCAATCTTATTTGTAGCAGCCCTGAATAGTTCTATGGAGGTCATGTTCGTCCATTGCCGTAGGTTTTTAAGAAGTTGCGTCTTCTTCCTGGTTCTCTTTTGCTATTGACTTTGCCTTCGATTATAAGTTGGAGCAGTTCATACTTTTGATTTCTTATGATGTGACCAAAATATTGTGTTTTCCGTTCTTTTATTATAAGCATAAGCTCTCTTTCCTTATTCATGCTCTGCAAGACATCCGCATTTGTCGTATGGCTCATGTAGGATATTCTGAGCATTTTACGGTAACACCAGAGTTCAAATGCTTGGATTCTTTTTTGTGTTGCTTCTGTCATTGTCCAGGCTTCAACATCATAGAGCAAGGCGGAGAAAACATAGCACTTAAGTATTCTACTTCTCAATGAGATGCCCAACTGGCGGTTGCATAGAACTTTCTGCATTTTTGCCATCTTCAGCGATTTAATATCTTGTTATTTCTTAATTAGAGGACTAAAACCGATATTGCAGTATCTCTGAGGTGACATAATATCATGTTTAAATAGATGTTTTTACACTACAATCGTACAGGACTTTGCCTCATCTGTAAAGGATATTTTAAGTCGGATTTTGAGATTATGTTAATGATATTACTGGTAAATGTAGCAATTTCAATTGCGCTTTATAATGTAAAAATCTCGATTTAGTCAAATAATTTAAATTGGAAGCATTTCATGACCGATGACGATATAAGTCATAACAAAATTTACATAAACTAATATATTCGGATAACCGGGTGTGTTACACGTAATGTAGAAAGATGAAATTATTGTTATTATTTTAAATCAAAACCATAATGCTTTCAAGTGGTAGTGTCCATAGAAAGATCTTTTGTATTTCAATATTTATAGAGTTTGTATCTTTCTTACCGCGCATAATACATGATTTGTGAATAGAGTTCTGTAAAAAATTTGATTTTTATTGTCATAATGCTAGAATAATTTTTTCTTCTTAATTTTAAAAAATATTTTGAGTCCGTTTCATGTTTTGTGAGTAGCCTTTAAATTTTTATTAAAAAGTATATATATATATTTGTGTTTATGTGTGTATGTGTGTGTATGTGTGTGCGTGTGTGTGTGTGTGTGTATGTGTGTGTATGTGTGTGCGTGTGTGTATGGGTGTATTTATATATGTATTGTGTGTAGAAGTATTTGTATTCAATGCAATAGCTACAGATCATAGTCGTAATGATCACATAGTATTCTAATTTACACTAAAATTAAGAGAAATAGTAACCTAAAACTATATTTTTGGGACTCTTGAAGAAGGAAGTCTTTTGTTACATGAGACTGTAATAGCGAGAGGCTCCATTACTATTGTAAACAATTATACTTTAAATTTTATTTTTGTTTTTCTAAAAAATTCAATTAGAAGGACTCTGTCAAATAAAGCAACTAAAAAAGATATATCGCTACCTTGGAAAAACATGTCATATCTCAAAAAAGTGAGACATGGACTATGTTAGTGAACATATTTCAAATATTTTATTTTTTTTGTGTGATAACTTTATAATGTTAGTTTATGTCTATGGCCGTCAGATGGTAGAAGTGGCGTTATGGTTAATCGAAAAGTTAGTTTGACATTAACGCCGGTTATCACGCTATATCTTATTGTACGTTTTGTTGGATAGGACAAATCCTATACATTAAAACCTGGCATGTAAACAGCAAAACGAACGTCTTGTCGAATCGAAATCAAATCCAAGATCAGATCGCAGAAATGATGGGAAAGCATAGTTTTACGAGAACTTATAGGATAAAACGTTACATGAAAATACATGTTCAGACAAGCCGTCCGATCTCGACTCAGTTGACGACTAGCTCCACTGACTGCAGTTTGCTTCATTTTTACCAAAAAAAAAATCTAAAAATGTCAGATTTGCGACAATGCACTCACGACCTTCTAGGGGAATTTAATGAATTGTATAAAAGTTTTCCGTGTTTAGGCAAGTGAAAAATAAAGGCTATAGTGACCGTAATAAAAAAAAACGTCACGTTTTTTTAATCTTTAAAGGGAAAAAATGCTTACTTTTTATTTTATTCTTTTTGGTGTTTAAATTAAATAAAAACATTTTTCTAAACCTTTACCTATTTATACTTAATAAACAAATAGTAGTTTAGCTTTAGCTAGTAGTAGTTCTGTTTTAAAACCAAGTAGATTGCATTAGCGGTTTCAGGAATTATTTGGCTTAACGCTGGTTTGGATATTATGGTTGTAAACTCCAAGTCCTTGAGGCTGCGTCCTGTTGCAAGATATCTGAAAGTTGCTGTGAGTTTTTCATGGGGTGTGATAGCTTTTCTCATGTCGTTGTCTTGATGATTCAATATGTATGGTATTACTAACTCTAGCAATTGACAATAGGCTGAGATGTCCATTCGCAAATAATTGCGCCAGTCATCTGGTTCACCTCTTAGTTTTTTTAGTAACGAGACGTGGGAATACTGGCTTCTTTTCAGAAGCCACTCTCTTGACCATCTTATCTTTTCCCTCTTTATCCCTTTTTCCT